TCATTTGTATAAGAATAATGTTGATGAGAGAATAGATTGAATGAGAAAACTTGAAATAATGAGGAGTAAGAGAGAGACAGGGAGGGATCTCAGCTTATATTTTATCAGTGTGCTCTGTACTGCATGGACAGTATTACCTCAATTTGTCTTCATAACATTGTGCATTAATTGATACCATGTACATGTGTATTTATAGTCATTTTCAGTTAATTGATACATATAGTGCATTTTTTGGTTTTTTGCTTTTAGCTGCTTTATTGTAGGTAACTGGTTAATTTGCTAACTTGATTTGTATGCTTTATTAATCCATGAAAACTGTACCTAAGCAGTAGCACAATTTGCAAAGCAAAAGTGATGAAAAAACAGGAAAAATTTCCTATCACCATGTACATAAGTACAATGATTTTTCTTTCCATTTCTTCTTTCTTTACTTGCTTCTTTTCTTTCTTCCCTTTCTTCTTTCTATTTTTCTTCCTCCTTTTCCCTCTTCCCCCTCATTCTATTCCTTTCCTTCTTTCCTTTCTCTATGTATCTCTCTGTCTCTCTTTCTATTATAGTCTCTCCTATATGTTAGGAAGGTTTGCGTCTTTTTATCATCTACTTTTTGATGTCATCCTCTTAATTAAACGAATGAGACCTGACATCCTCCGGAAGGGAACAGTTTTGGTCCTCTAGTATCTCTTATACTGAAGAACCAGAGACCATGCACATGTCATCACATACTAACCTCTCCCTCGTCTCTCAAGATCCCCTCGTCACCATACAAGTGAGAGATCATGTGACTTTTGATGATAGTCATGTGATGTTGTGTAGGTATGGATGACCAGTGGGTGGAGTGATGGGAGATGTGGTCAGAAAGGAAGTTGTGGTGATGAAAGCTAGGTGTATGCTACCTCGAAAGAATATTAATGTGTCTTTTAATAAATACTGTATAGTTGAAATTTATGTGTGTGACCTTATATTTTTGTAAACAGCCAAAGCCACTTTCATTGTTAACGTGTTTACCCTATACCCAAGTGGAAGAATAAAAATTATAGTAATAAATTTATTGCAGCTTTTAACTCAAATTCTACTTTCAGAATTTGGCACATTTTTCACTGTTGACATGTGTACATGTACGCACGTAGCTCCAAAGTTTAGTAATGAGAATTAGCTTAAACATTTTACACAGCATAAAAACACGATGTACATTACATTACACACGTATTTAATAAAAATCTGACATATTTATGTATTAAAATTATTAATAAATAAGCCACAAAATATTAAATTCAATTACACTGTCTCTCTCAGAGGTTCCCTGTCTAGACTGGTGATGTTATGTAATAAGTCAATATTACAGTAAGACCCACGTCTACCAGGAGACCATTAGACCACACCCAGGAGGTCTGTGGTATTCACTGGTCACCAAATCATCAGCAACTTGTGTCAGGAGGAAATGATAGTATAGTGAGTTTATAATTATATTTTTTATTTTATATTGGCTTCAAAATAACCCGTCATTTTTATAATTCAATTTCTGATACATATTGATGTCCTTAAACTATGTAGAAGGTTTGAGCAGTTTTGGATAAATACTGTAAAAGATTATTTATTGGTGGGATCTGGCGATTTTACCTGTGAAAAGAAATTGGCGAGTTTTATGTTGGCGACTTTGTGTCATGTGCCATTGAGCATGCTCAGTTTGAAATAAAATGGCAAATTTTATATTGGCAATTTTTTCATAGTACCGCCACCGCCAATCACCAATATTAATTCCTCGCCAATAAATCATCTTGTACTGTATTTTTTAAATTATGAGCATTTTTAAAAAAACCAAATTTTGAAAAATATACCCAAGGCTAAGCCCATCATTTTTTCTTTAAAATCACCTCTAATTTTTATTTCATTAAAAATATATTTTTTGTTCTTATGCTATGTAGAAAAAGTTTGAGCTGTTTCCGACAAATATTTTTAAAGTTATGAGCATTTTTTAAATAGACCAAATGGTTTTATTCTGATAAATTGCTCCAAAATTACCATCAATTTTTATTACATTTTTTGATACATATTGTTATCCTTATGAAAGTTTGAGCTTTTTCTGACAAATAAATTTTGAATTATTAGCATTTTGAAAAATAGGCCAAATTTTGAAAATACCCAATGCTTTTTGAAAAAAATGGTATTGAAATCATCCCCAAATTTTATTACATTTTATGATACATATCCATGTCCTTATGCTATATAGAAAGTTTGAGATGTTTCCGACAAATTATTTGTGAGATATGAGCTAGCATTTTGAAAAATAGGCAATGCTTTTTGACAAAAAATGGCTTCAAAATTACTCCATTTTCTTATGCATATTGATGTCCTTGTAATGAAGAAAAAATTAATCTGTTTTTAAACATTAAGTTTTTCTAAATACCGTATAGCGGGATTTATTGACGAGTAAAAAATTTGATGAAAACAGTAAATTTCTCCGGTTGGCGAGTTGTAATTTGACAAATAGTGCCCTTCACGTACACGTGGCACAAAGTACAAAATTTTTGACGGTTATTATATTTGACGTTTTATTTTAAATCATCAACTCGTCAAAATAAAACCTTCATCAATAAATCCCGCTATA